ATCATACTTTTTGATCCAAGCTTGAGCAACTTGTTCAGTGGCCAATTTCTAGTAGACTTCATTAGTTTGTTAATAGAGCTCAAGCTGCCTTTAGTGTACAATTTTAACAATACATCCATAAGCTAATATTCTAGTTCTTGAGTGAGTACTCATGAACAACGAAACGCAGAATGGATCAAGCCTAATCATTGTCCTAATTAACACAGAGAAGTTTAGTTTCTGTGACCTAATCATTTTTTAACTAATTAGATGAGAAAAACTAGGAAATTTCTGTCAATAAGTAGTTAGTAATTTGCGTTGGCCATCAAGTGTTCTATTATAATTCAGGTTTGGATCCAGATCTCTTTGGCAGATTCTTTTTCCTTCAGCGTCCTATCTTAATTTACAAATTATTACGGTCTTTTGGTAATAATAGGACAGTACAGACTTAGATGTTCAATTTTGCTTTCTCACTGATGGCAGGCTGTGGTTTATAATTTGATAGAATGAATCATGGCTCAAATATGAAATATGCATCATATTCAATGCTCGTATGAGTTAGTAGAAAACTTATGTTACAAAATTACGATTAAGCACGGCTTAGAAATTCCTGTGTTCAATATCTGTTTTCTGTACTGTAAATTTTCTATAACTTCCCTGGCTTGGTGAACTAAGCTGTCAGAGTAGTTTATAATGGATTCGAAAATAACATTTTTGAAAGGAATTTTTTCTTTCTGAGTAACAATAAAAACCTAAATTATTTTGAGTAGGGGAACTAGTTACATTTGATGGGTGCAATCAAGTAAAATAAAAAGGAAAAGAAAAATGTTGATCATTGAGCTTCATGTTCAGGTTCCTAATTGAGAAGATTCTTTCATTCCTGGACTGGCAAAACAAGCTTATAGTAGTGCGCTGTGACTACTTCATTTATGTAGGTTATTCACAGCTGCTGACAGTGATGATATCTCCACAGCCATACAGTGCATCAACAAAGCAAGGCCGTGGACAACATTTGTGGCCGTTGGTTGGGGCTATGGTGCTAATATGTTGACAAAGTACTTGGCAGAAGTTGGAGAGCACACACCTCTAACAGCTGCGACATGCATAGACAATCCTTTTGATTTAGAGGAGGCTACAAGGTTCTCCATGCATCACATTGATTTTGATCGGAGTCTCACGAGTGGGTTCATAAGTATACTGCATAGAAACAAGGTTGTTATTTCATATACACAAGCTCTTACTCTTTATTTTTATTTTTAAAGAAGATCCATATGAGCATGTTGTGCTAGATGTTTAAACTATATCTGTAATTGTAATATATAGTCTATTCATAATCTATTAAGTGTCCCATGAGATGAAAATCATTTATGGACGATTTTATCCAAGCTATATTTATGATATTTCAATAGTACCCTTCATACGTTAATTAAACTATTCATTTCATTTGTTCTAAATGCCGGCTTTATATTCAATGTATCCATTTATGAGTCCTTTCGTAATTCTTCGACACAAATTTAAACTTAATTCACCGACTCTAAAATGCACACCATGCCTCTCTGCTCATCAATCCATTAGTGGATTAGTTAATGGTGAGTCTCAATAATTAAATTAAATTTGTTATCCACCAAAGAATCGATGTGCCATGTCATCGGTACTTAAGCTTATTGTTTAGTAGATCATTGTGGGCATTAGATTTTATGCATAGATAATTTTTTCATTTCTCCTAGTTTTTTAGTGATTGTTGATGAATTAAATGTTGTACAAACTTCCCTAGCTTTCTATTGATTTTTTGTAGGACACTAGACACTGTGAAAATAGAAAGCAATACTCAATGCATGAAATTGTAATTTTTTATTATTTGTTACATTTGTGTTGCATTCGTTGTATTGATCCAATATCTAAAGTAACATTTTTACAGGACTTCCAAAATAAATAAATAAATAAAAGTACGTTGATCACTTCTAGTCCTAAATGGAGAGAAATTAATGTAATATGGCATGAATGATTGACCATTCAGTACTTGATGTGCATTCTGTAACTATGACTTTCAGGAATTATTTCAAGGTCGTGGAAAAGGATTTGATGTTGACAGAGCTTTGTCAGCCTCATCCATTCGAGATTTTGAAAAAGCAGTATCCATGGTGTCTTATGGATTTGATTCCGTTGAAGATTTCTATGCAAAATCTAGCACGCGAGATGTAGTTGGCAAAGTGAAGATTCCTGTTCTTTTTATACAGGTCTTATTTGATTTCTTTGATGATAAACTNATATATATATATATATCTGATATATAAAAGTCTAGTTTCCTACGATGCGTCTTCATCATACGATTGCCAACATGCTTAAATGCAGTGGCTCACAGCTGTGGAGCTTGGACTTTTGAAGGGTCGCCATCCACTTCTGAAAGATGTTGATGTCACTATAAATCCTTCAAAGGGTTTATCATTGGTAGGAGGTAGATCTTTTGGTAAGAGTGGTAGAAGAGACAAGCTCTTGAATCTTCCTAATACAGACAGTATTGACAGCCAAGAAAACAGTATTACAGCTGGCATCCAATCAAAATCTAGACAAGAATCAAGAGGACCTGAACTCGACATGAAAAGATTGAAACAAGAGGGCAAAGGTTTAGAGAATCAAAGCAGTGATGTTAATGCTGAATTTATAGATGGAACAAATCCTATTGATGATGAAAGAGGCCAGGTGCTACAGACTGCAGGAACGGTTATTAATATGGTTGATGTGACTATTCCAGGCACTCTGTCGGAAGAACAGAAAAAGAAGGTAATTGTCATGAATTGATAATTTTTTACAATCACGCATAGTTCTACGTCTATGACTAGTTTGTAGGCTCTCTGTGTGATGGAATAAACTGCTAGCACCATTCAGGGTGTTTGTATAGAGAGTATATGAAGATTATCTGCATTATATTAGTATCTTATACGCATACTGAGTTGCACTAACAGGAGGCTGGCAAGCGTGGACTAACATACTTACGACTAACTGATTATTTGATCTAGTGTTCCATTCAGTTGAACTGTTGCTGGAAAGATTGGGGAAGGGATGGGACCTTTACATGTTGTTTGGTAGGGAAGCAAAATGTTGGGGGTTACCGTATAGTTTCCAATCCATCCCACTGGGAAGTAGTTCAAAAGGTTGAGCTAATCAGATTGAAACACCCTAACTTATTGTAATAATACATTCACTATATTCTCACATTCTTGGATGTAAAACCAGGCTGAAACACACTAGATGCTTGTTTGGGAGAATTATAAGTTGCTGAAATTATCAACTGATAAAAATGAGTGGTGGATAAGTAGGTAGTTATTGTGGATCCTATGCTATGTGTGGTTAAAATTAAATTATACTTTGACCAATTATAGGAATACATTACCATCTCCTTACTCTCCCCCTTGTAATACCAGGTATCCCTTAATCTTTGAGAAAAGGTTGCTTGTAAAATTGTTCAAGAATATAGATATCTAGGAAGACGATATTTTGATCTTTGGTATTTAGTAAAATTGTTCAAGAATATAGATATCTAGGAAGACGATATTTTGATCTTTGGTATTTATCAAGTGTTAATAATTATATGGTAACCATGTTCAGGTCCTGAATGCTGTGGGTCAAGGGGAGACACTAATGAAAGCTTTGCAAGATGCTGTCCCTGAAGATGTCCGCGAAAAGCTTACGACTTCTGTTTCTGAAATTTTGCAGAGTCAAGGGTCTAATCTAAAATTTGAGAGGCTTCTAAGTTTGGGACACATATCTGATGTGGCAGCAGGATTAAACTCAAAAGTACTAGAAAAAATTAGACTTGCAAAAGGAGGTGATGATGGTCACTCCCCCGATCAGCAGAAGAGGATAAATCATTTGGGTGATGGTTCTGGTAAAGTCCTCCATAGCTCAGACAAGCCTCCAGGAGTTCTGGAATCAGAATTTCAGTCGTCGGAGAATTCACAGAAACCCATTGACACAGGTCAATTTCTACCTACAAGCACTAACAATTACGATGATCCAGGCTCAGAGAAAGTGGACATGAATGAAGTGGGGAATAATCACGAAAATGCACAATTCTCCCGAGGAAATGCTGGCCATTCCTCTGATGATGGGAATACACGGGAAACAAGTGATAGACCCGAGTTATCCAATCAGTATGAAGGGCCTGGTATCACTGAGGAAATTGTTTCAGAG